CCCCCCCCCCGTGTCAGCTCAGAGCAGCCCCACACTTAACTGGAACTACATCTGAATGCAGGGGAGTCCTAAAGTCGTCAATTTGTAGTTACTACATGGAGTATTAGAGAATATTGAGATAAGGATAGTTGAATGACAATCATCATTGGTTAATTTACGCTCTTTAGCTATTTGTATAAACAAATGATTCTTATATTCAAATGGACAACCAAAAGAACCGGGAAAGACATGGTGAGCTTGCTTGAAAAATTTAGGCAACTCGAAAAATCAATATCAGAAATGGAATAGATAAATAGATGAGTACACGCCAATAATGTATGAAAAAAGCTCATTAGTCTATCGAGGAGCTAGCACATATGTCTAGGATGAAAACTTACAATAAAGTGGATAGATAGATGAAGAAAATTTAAACAGGAGGTTTAGATAAGGTGGCAGTAACAACAGAACAAGAGTGATTGTTTGACAACACTGAGACCCCACATGTGAAGCAGCTGATGATCAAGAAAGAATCAGCATGGTCAAAGGCGCATGCTTACAGATATTGGAAAAACCAGAAAGTAGAATCTCCTCTCCAAGACCTGCAAAATAAAGATTGCATTGAGGGAAAGAAGCAAGTAAAGGTGAGAGCCCAGGGAGATAGGGAGTACCTAGAAATCCATGGGAGAGGAGGCAGAAGCAGTAGAATCATGGGCATGGTGGTATTGCGGAATGATAGTTTGGGTGATTAGATCCAATTGAGAAAGGATGTGTTCCAATTTGCTGAGACAGATTTCATTAGAGATTCTACAAGTGTAATCACTCTTCTCGAAGGGACGATACTCACAAGCACTTTTTATTTCATTCCTCAAAGTAAACTGAATATCCTGCTCGTTACAGCTATTAAATTATAATAATTGAAAGAAAATAATTTTAAGAAAAAAGAGAGAGGAAGAAGGGGTTAGACCTTAATCATTTGCATGAAGTCACGGCAATGGTTGTTGATGAATTCTTTTCGAGGACCTGTTGGATTTGAAAGCTCATCCATTACTCCTCCTGCTACCTCCAAAACCCTAACCACTGTCTGTTGCCCCCATCCAAAACAAATAACTATTCTCTGCTAACCAGATTTCAAGTCGTCAAATCAATTAAACAAATAAATTACCTTTTCGACGTTTTGAAGGCGCTGCAGAGATGTGTTTTGCGTCTGGGAATCCATTGCTGTGTGCTCCCTTGCGATAGATAGTCCACTCCTCGCTTCTTTTCTGTCCTCCTTTCTCTCTCTCTTCCTCTAGTCTCTCTCTAGAAGGAGGGGCCCGCAGATTGATAAAACTGCCTGCTTTCTTTTTATTTATAGGGAACTCATAAACGACGTCGGCTGAGGGTATTTTGTGAATGTTGTTTAATTGGTTGGGCCAAGGGAAGGAAAAGCAAGAGGAGGAAGCGCTGATGACTGCTGTCTCCTCTAGACGAGGAGTCGGCCAGCGGGTATGGACAGGCCATTGAACAGGGAAGGCAAGCAATGCGGCAATATATTTCTTTCTCCGGTCCACCAAATAATTTGAAATATGGAACAGGATTCTGTGGGTTTTGATTTACAAAATGAATCCAGGAGGGATGGCATTGGATATTCATCCTACTACAACAACTGAATTATGAATTGCGAATGAGCCTTCAATGGAAAATCTTGAATTTTATTCGTGATTATGATTGGATAGGAGGAATACAATACCTCTCCGCGCATGCATCAGTTACTGGTTAATATAAAATGGGGAACCTCCAGAAATTTAATGGAAGATGTGGTATTTATTATTCAGAGAAATGCAATGGATTTTTTAACAAAGAAGAAACGTAGCAGAGGAGAATTCCGTTTTGGATTTTTAAGCTTGTTCTTTATTGAAAATAACCTTGGTATTTATAGCCATTCTACAATTCATAGCAGAAAATACTAAAAAGAAGGAAGAAGATACTCCTCCTATCAACTTGATTGGGTTTGATGAATAGATCTCCATCAACATTGGAAAGATGAGAGATAAGTTGGGCAAGGCACCAGATTGCACCATTCAAGTTCCTCTCATCTCCCAGGAGTAACACCACCACCATGCACATTGAAAAATTGTGGCTCGTCTTTAATTTCCCACTTCCATTTCTATATCTTTTGTGATCAAATCTTGTGCTGTAAATCTTTCTATGGGAGCAACAAGCATGTGCCAAATCAGTAGAAAAATACAGCAAGCAGAGCTTGAATTCTTTAATTAATGAATCATTTTAGCAATTGCCATTAAAGATTTATAAACACTTCTACATCTGCAGGCACGATTACTTTTCTGAGGCAGAAGCTGCGGTTGCAAAGGAATAATCTTACTTTGAATCTCCTGCAAGAAAGCCACTCTCTGCCTTCTCGTAAGGCTTTGGATGGTTTAGCAGTGATTTGGATGCAGCAATTGGTAAGTTGAAGAACATTTCGTTGTGCTTTTTAAAGCCATGATAACCACAAGTGCTATCTGCTGATTATTTCCTTTTTGAGTGAATAATTTGCAGTTCTTATTAGTTTGAGCAACTGTAAAATCTTACTTTGTAAACTGCTATTCAATCGTTCAATTTTTGTTGTCCCTGGAGTCGCATAGGTTCAATCATCATCTATCTAACATGCCTTGCCAATGATAAAAACGGATTGAGATCATCTCCTGCTCCCTTCATGTTTTTTTAAATTAAAATCGTTGAATTTAATACATACATGAAATTAAAAGAAGAAAAAAAGAAGATGAAATTAATAGAAAAAACCCCTCAACTCAACTCAACTCTTTACCACCTAACTCTCACTCTTCCCTTGTATCATTGGCTCATGCATTGATTCATCAATAACAAGAACGAGATCTATAGAAGTAGAGACGTAATAAAGATCCACCAGTAGCTTTTCCTTAAATTTAGACTGCCTGCATCAGTCCTGCCCGCATCAATCCAAGTTTTACCAAGCAGTTACACGGATGAAATTCATGGTGGTTGGTCTAGAAACCAGAAACCACCAGGTTCATAGATCAATCCTAACATCACTTTCAAGTTTAGAAAAAGTAGTCACTAACATTATGTTTAGAACAGAAGTTTCAATCACCTATCGTTTTACCTTTGGGCATACAAAACCACAAGTCTCAAATGACATTTCAAGAAAACCAGAAAAAAAGAAGGGGGAAAATCAATTGTCCAATAATTAAAAAAATAGATGTCGTCATCTTACAATAGCAATCAGCTCAGGACAGGTCTTCAAATGAACTAATAGTTAATGCATTTGCCACTCACACCCTTTCCCTCAGTAACTGGCGGGCAAATAGATCATAGGGAAAATTGTCTCCCATTTCGCAACAAAATACACCATTTGGTAAAAATCCTATATGTCAATAATCTTAAGAAATGGTTCCGCAATGTATCAACACCATTCTATTTCACTCTTTTCAACTGCCCATCTCTGGACAGGTCTTTTGAACCAGTCACCATCAAGAGAGCAGGCCTAGACTCAAATCCAAAGTGCTTTCATTCAGGTCTTGTCGTACCACCTGATTACCATCCTGAGATTGAAGCATGTTCAAACCAAAATTAGATGGAAACTTGCGATAAGAACTTCAAATGAGAACATTCCTCACACAATACTTCTGTATATTGTGGAGCAACAGCATACCGAGCAAAGGCAAGAAGTGAATTGTGGGTGTCAAATTAGGCCATATGGAATTTATGGACTTTTCAAACAAGACACCCTGTATGGATGGTAAATAAGAACATAAATACATTAACCAGTCACCTGATTTTCTTCCGGTACATCATTGATGTCAGGTTTTTCATCAGCACTGTCACTCTTGGAAACTGGCTCTGCAGCATTAGGGTCAGTATCACTTGGTTTTGATTCATCATCAAACTTTTCTGATGCCTCTTGTTCTTCAGCCTCTTTTTTCTGTTTCTCTAGCAAATCAACCTGCATGGTCAGACAAGCCAAATAACAGACAATAAGCTTAGTTAACAAGACAAATGCAAATTAGTGTCTTTATCTGGCCTCATCGCAGAAGCATCGCAAAGCGTACCAATAAATCCTGATTTATGACCCATTTTAATACCAATGCCTAAATTTTAAAACAATTCATTTGGACCCATGATACTAATTTATGGTAGGCACTGTATGCCACTTCAACAGTGCCGAGTTCTCTTTCCCTATGGGTCTCCACTAATCTATTGTCAAACTCCTTTTCCTCTTTTTGATATGTAGAGTGCAAAAATCTCTATGAATGCCGCTAGCAATAGCATACCATCCAAAAAATCAAACAAATGGGAAAGATCTCTTGTTCTTATTCCTATTATAAAATCAAGATTGATTCATGTGACAGTATTGATACTCCTAACCAAATCTTTTTTTTACCAAGGCATGCATAAAAATTTGCTATTGACACAAGTAAAGCTAAAACAAAGGTAGTATTTATATCATTTGTTGTTACAGCAAAAGTTTTTTTTTATGTTATTCTCAATGATAATTTTTGTATTTATATCATTTCCAATTTTAGAATTGAAAGCAATTATAATTCATGATAAAACAAATGCCAGATTTATTGAAAAAACAACACCACAGGAATATAACTAAAATCAATGACTGATGAAATTTAAGATTTCATCTTCATTAGCAAAAACTGTCGGGTACACCAAAAATGTGTAACCCATTACTTTGCACACTCTTTTGTTTTGCTCTTACAATAGAACCCAAAGTAATGCTTTTGGTACACATTCCTGTCTGTTTCCAACACAGTTCACAATCTCCAAAAACTCTTCCACCATAACACAATGGAAATCCATGGTCCCATACGCGAAGATCTATGGGCCTCTATACTATTTCATTTAGCTTTAAGTCAAGTATTACACCAGCATACTCAAGTTTACACAAGGAACTAAGAAAAGATTATCACCACTGACTTGCCACCATTTGAAGGTACCAGACAGCCTCTCGTGTTTTTTTTTTTTTTTTCCAGTCAATTAAGAAAAAAATGTACCAGGAAAAAAAGTCCAAATCTTGCGCTCTCCAATCACAATTTCATTTCAATGTCTCTCTATCAATAGCATCTTCAATAAAATTACTGTTTGGCCCATAGTTCAACCAATCACCAAACAATTAAAAACCACTCCTCATGTGCATTAAATACACCGACATTTTAACAGAGTGTGACAAATAGAATAAAAGGAAAACTATACAAGAATTTTGTCCACGCAACTGTTTCAAAATGTGTGGCAGTACCATCTTCATGCCACAATGAAGCACCATGTCTTCCAAAGCTAGATGAATGGTGACCACAGAACTTGTTTATAACTAGATGCATTGTTTTGTAACCCTAGACATATGCTGTAGGACATCACTCTAAGCACCCAGAGATTTTAAAGCCTGCAATGTAAGATATAGAAATGTCATGTGTACATCTTGACATTCCACTAATGATCTACTGCACTCAACTTAAACTAAAATGACAACTTTCAGGCTCTTGGCTTGCTATAATATTGAGTTGCGAACTAACCAAAAAAACAAAGGGTATAGATGTCATTAGCTTCGCATTGCAATGAGAGTAGCCAGTATACAGACAGCCTCACAAAACTTTGCTACTGCCTTGTGATTTAGTAATTCTAAAGCATTTCTTTCACACTGAACCCACAACAATTGTAGGCACACTATATCATCATTTACAAGCTTTAGTTTCTCACTTTCTCTTATTCTTGAGGACAAGGAACAATTGCATTCAATAAGGACAAGCAAAGAGGCTCTGAAAATCTCTCCAATAAAGCCTTTCATTGATTGCTACAAGGGCATCCAATTTCTGAAGCTTCATTGAACATGCTGGGAACATGAGACTAATTAGATTTAAAGAGGATTTGATGCATGATAACTGTATTTTCCAAAAAATGGTATTTGCATAGCTAAATCAATAGTTCTGTCCTTACTACCATTCAAATAAATCAAGCTAAGACAACAAACTGCCAATTAACTTTGACAAGGGCATGGGTACCAAATACTTTTAACTGAAGGAAAATATCCTAAAGTTAATTGACATTATATGCTAGCAATTCGAACCAACCCAAGTTCTAATTGGGCCACGGGTGCATCCACCGACACCTTACTTTGAACCATCACTGAACCTCTAGTTTACCCTTTTTTTTGTGCTAGTCAACCAAGCATAAGCTGGTATAAAATGAAAACCATAGACAATTAGCATAAACACAGTTGTGTTCTCTCATTAATTTCAGCTGAACATCATTCCATGTTCTGTGTAATTGACTGACATAACTACACTGATTACCACATAACCAAAAGTATTGTGCTTTACAGGTGTAAAACTCATGCAAGTTTTCTTGTACCAATTGCATCCTTGAAAGGCTTTATAACTGTAACTACCTGTAGTGTAATTGACACTATCCAACAATGTCATTTTTTCCTCGTAATTAACTTAGGAAAACCTTTTGGGATCAGGGAAACCCACGAAATGGAATATTTGTTATATTGCCAATAGAATGAGGATGGAATCTATACCCAAGTAAATGTCTGAAAACTCTAGAAGGTAGCCAAAAAGCAAATTAAAGTAGACTTGAAAAGGAATGTCAGAAAGTTAAAGTGTCTACATCACAATCTACAAATACTACCAGTGAGGCAGTCTTTCGGTACCAAGTCCACAGTGTCCTAGGGTGACTGAGAATTATAGCTTTGAAATCCTACTGGAGTTGCAATTTTTTTCAGTATCATGCCCGAACTGTCCCTTGTGCAAGCCTGAATCGCCATGGGCACTTGTTATTTTAGTTCGCTTTTCTCAAATAAACATCAATGCAAGCAAGAAAAACAAAAACTTTCAAAAAGCCCTCGTAAAATCCTGACAATCTAACAAAACCCGTTAAGTATTTTCTCCAGAATTCCTCTATTTGATACGACAGGGTTTTACTGAGAAAACAAAAGGCACTGTTCATCCACGATCCAGATCTAAATCAGGCAACCTAATTCCACAAAATCCCATGTAATCTTTAAAACCTAGATACTAAAAAGAAAAAAAAAATCCAATTGAACCAAAGAAAAGAAAATGAAAAACAATACCGGGATGTATTTGAATTTACGCCTGGGAGGCTCCTCGGTGACGTCGCCATTGGAGAGATTAGCAATTTCGTTAGTAGTATTAATATTATTACCGTTGAAGTGGTTAGTAGTAGATGAGGAACCGTTGGATTGAGACAAAGGGGTCCACTTGTAAAGCAATAGATGGGAGCCGTTATTACCGTTAGAAGAGCTCGAATGATTAGCGGCTGAAGAAGCAGCAGCAGCAGCAGCATTAGTGGTAGCGTTATGGTGATGCGAGTGAATGCTGTTTTGGGTGGATGATGGGTTGACATGGACCCATCTCTTCTTCCACTTCCTCACCGGCCCACTGAACACCGTGGCCGGCCCGTAGCGAGTGGAAGACCTCCCCAGCCGTGCCCCGACTCCTTCCATTATTACTTTCAAACCGGTGCCGGATCTACTACTAGTAGTAATCCTTCTCCTATCCTTTCCCTTCTTGTACAATTAGCTAATTGAAAAGGAAAAGGAAAATAAAATTCTCTCGTCTCTCTCTCTCTGCCTCCTATTATTATTTTTATTAAAACAAATGTAGAGAGAGGGGGCAGTGATGGGTTTGGTTGCGAACGCGGTTTGGGGTTATTTATGTCTACCAGCAGTGAATGGAGAAGGATTGCGAGGGCGGTTACGTAATAAATATAAAGGTTAACTCTTTTGGGGAGCTCAAAACTTGACTCTTTCCTTACCTTACCTTTCGCTATCTCTTTTTCCCTCTAGAGGAGGGGAGGAGAGGAGAGGTTGCCGATATTAGATCCAATTATTGGTTTCGGCGGCTACTTTGCCTTTGAAGATTTCATTAGCCATCTGGAAAGACGAAGAGGGTTTTGCTACGAGAGGAGGTGGTCCAATGACTTTATTTCTGAATGGGCCTTTTAGTGGAAAAGGAAAACTGGTCCATCTTTCAATGGGCAGGGGCAACAGCATGGAGCGACATAAACAAGCTTCGCATGGAGCTTTAGATGTGCGGTTCAGATGTTTCTTCCAGCGAGAGACTCGATATAAAAAGCAGCCTGTAGCACCGGGAAGACACACCTGCCCGCTTTCACATCTTTTCTTCTCCGGTCACGGTGCTTTCATTCATTCAAGTCTTAGTGTATTGGGATGTTTTTGGGTAAGCTACATGTACCAAGGGGAAGCACACCAAAAATGGCCTTCTCCTTGAATTGCCAAAGCGGCTGCAGCTATATCAAATGAGATGCTAACTGGCCGGCTGTCGTGTGAGGTGGATTTTCCCATCTCCGATTGACTGATCTGCTGACCGAGCTTCTCACAATCTATTCATATTATTGTCTGTCTGTCTTTGACAGAGATATATTAGATTAGATTAAAAGGGAGAGCAGAGGGAAATGGCATAGGATTTAGCCTTATCAAGAGACCCCTCTCTTACATCAATCAATCAATCGTCACTTTCCAGGCTCTATGCTTTGAATCTCCCAGCAGTCTGCGTCTATCCGTGACTACACTCTCTCTCTCTCTCCCCCTTCTTGCATTGCACATTTCAAAAGAACAGAAAAGAGGAGCATGTTAAAGCAGAACCAAGGGGAGAGCATCTCCAATCTAATCACTTTGAAAGCGATATTCCTTCTTTCATGGGCCAAAGGATCTTATATTAATAGTTTGTTCTGAACTTCTTTTTATCCATCCCATCTCCAAGCCTTATCCCTCACCACAACACTTGTCTAACAAAAAAAAATTAGGTGACCCGGCTTTGACCAGTAAACTTTTTATTAAAATTTTTATTTTAAATATTTTTAAAATTAAAAATATTAGTTAAATATATCGAATTTAATGAACTTAAGAGATAGTTAATTCCAAGCAACATGGACTTTGTTTGAATTTGAAGTTCAGTCAAGTAAACAATAACAAATCTAAAAATTATAAATCTAACAATTAATTAATAAATTATATATTAATTGTCAAGTACACATCAATGTATGCTTAATAAATATACTAAATTCAAAATATTTAAATTTGATAATAATATATTAACTTGATTTAATTTTAAAATAATATGAGTTTAATAAATATATTAAATTCAATATATCTAGATTTGATAATTAGTCAAGTTTAATATATATGAACTTGATAATCAATCAAATTCAAAACAATATAAATATGATAAATATTAGCACTCAAGATATCTGAATTTAATAAATAATTAAATTTAAAATAATATGAGTTTTGCGTATATATTAGACTTAAGGTATTTGGATTTGATAAACACTCAAGTTAAAGGTGCTTGAACTTGATAGTTAATCAAATTCAAAATAATATGAATTTGATAAAACATTTTAGTCACAAAAAACTTAAATATTATCAATTATAAAACTTTATACTTGATTATAGATGATCATTTATAATATAAAACATTAAAGACATGATAAACAATCGTATCTCTTAATAAAAAATTATTGTATGTAGTATAATAATGATTTTTTTATATTTATAAATGTAAATAAAATCTTTTAAAGGATTCTATGCATGCAATCTCATTAATAATATGAAAGATTTTTTTTGCTCCTCTCATTAATATTATTGAAAGGTAAAACTTTCAAAAATTTTCTTTTTTTATAGAAATGACAATATTCATATAATATAAATATTCTCTAAACTATACACGTAAATCACACACAAACTTTTTTTTTTCTAAAACAAATATATAAAGATTTCAGAGTATTAACGAACTTAAAACTTAAAAATAAATATTTTTATGCTTAAATTCAAGGTTCTTTAAAATTATTTATTACTTTAAGTTATTTAATATTTTATTTATAATTATACTAACTTTAATATTAAATTATCTTTAAATTATTTTAACTGCAATTGTTTTTATAAATATTCAAGGAGTTTTTTTAATTAAAAAAAAAATGAAATACTTTAACATATTAATTATGTATTTTAGATTTTAAAACATCATCTTGTTTCTTATTTAGCTATCGTTTGAATAGTCTTTGTCGATTAAAAAAAATGCAAGTATTTTTTATAAGCGAAAGCACGCGGACAAGCTTTAACTAATGCCCTCTAAAATAATTAAATTTCAACTGAAATTGCTTGAGTAAAACTGTGTTTTCTCAACCATATATATACACGTAAAGTCTGTTACAATGGAAACTCTTTATAAGAGTTGTAGTTACAAAAGGATTTATTTGCAGAGACATGAATAAATAGAGAACTAGAAACAATGAAACACTAGGTACATTTGCAGAGACATGAATAAATAGAAAACTAGAAACAATGAAACACTAGGTAACAGATATCAATGTTTATCGTCAATCTTAGTATTGTGAACTTTATCCTTATCATTCCCCCGTAAATTGGCAGGGACATTTGTCTCAGAAAATTTATCCTAGAGGTAACAGAACCAATCAACCTTGTATCTCTTGATAAAAATATCTACAGGTTGTAGAGAGGTGGGAATATATTGAAGTAGTATATCTTTATTGGCCACTATTTTTCTAACAAAGTGGTAATCCTCTTCAATGTGTTTTGATTGGGTATGGAAAGCAGGATTGGAGGCAAGAGTTAAGGCACTTATATTGTCACATCATACGATTAGAGCTGAAGCAAGAGAAACCTGCAACTCACATAACAACATTCTTAGCCAATACACCTCAGCTGTAACTAGAGCCAAACACATGTATTCAGCTTCAGTACTGGATTTTGACACTATAGGTTGTTTCTTAGCAGACCAAGATATGAGATTGGACTCAATAAAAACACCATAGCCATAGGTGGAGTGTCTATCATCAAGATCACCGACCCAATTAAAGTCACAATAGACATTGATTTCAAAGGAACCAGGTTTATGGAAGAGACTATAATCAAATGTGTGTTTTAAATATTATAGCACGCGTTTGGCTATTGTCTAGTGAGCAAAAGTAGGTGCTTGCATATATTGACAGAGTTGATTTACTGAGTATGCAATGTCAGGGCATGTGAGAGTTACATACTGTAAAGCCCCTACTGTTTGCCTATATTCAGATGGGTCTGAAATACTTTCTCCATCAAACTTGGATAACTTAGACCCAGAGACACAAGGTGCACAGTATGAACGAATACTAGTGAGTTGCACACTATCTAGAAGATCAATTATATACCTGGTTTGTCAAAGATGTAACCCTGAAGAATTGTGTATGGCCTCAATTCCCAGAAAATATGTCAACTGGCTAAGATCCTTCATAGCAAACTCAAGTTGTAATTGAGATATAAGAGTGGTAATAAAATCTTGATCATTTGAGGTAACCAAAATGTCAACCACGTAAACTAAAAAGAATACATGGATATTGTCACGATGACAGATAAATAATGAGGGATCAATTTGTGAACTTTGAAAAACAAGATCAAAAGTGCAGTGAACAGTCAATTAAACCAGGCACGAGGAGCTTATTTCAACCCGTAAAAAGATTTATGAAGCTTACAAATGAATCGGGGGTGTGCAGGATCAACAAATTCTTTATGTTGTGTCATATAAATTTCCTTTTCTAACACAACATGAAGGAAGGTGTTAGAGACATCAAATTGATGCATATCCTAATTAAAAGGAATAGCGATGGCAAGAACCATTTGGACAACAAAAAGTTTGATGACTGGGCTCAATGTGTTAAGAAAATCAACAACACTTTTTTCTATATATCCCACAGCGACTAACCTAGCCTTATAACGTTTAACACTGTTGTCAGATCATTGTTTGTGTTTAAAAACCCATTTACATGGAACCAAATTCTTACTAGGGGGATGAGAACATAGTGACCATGTGTCATTCTGTAACAAAGAATGAAATTCACTGTCCATTACAGCACGCACTTAGGTATAGATGATACTTGAGTGTAGGAACAGGGCTCAACACAAACTAGACCTGCATGCAAAGCTTAAAGGGGGTGATGAGTGGAATATAAATGAAAATCAAGAAACTCATAAGGCTTATGATGATCAGTCTGTGATCTAGTGATTATTTTTGTGAAAGACAGGGCACCATTTTGGAGGTTAAGGATGGCATTGTGGTGGTGGTTAAAAGAAGGATTGAGAGTTGATGCACTAGGCATGGAAATGGATCTAGAAAAAGATTAGCCAGAATGGAGAGATGGGAAAGAGGAGTAAAGATGGAATTCATTTGAATTAACAGCTGGAACAGTATGAATATCATGTAAGGTAAGGTCAGCAAGAACCTGGGTAGGTAAGGAAGTTGCTGGGGGAGGAGAAAAATTAAAGGATGAGGAGAAAATATGTGAAGAACAAACTTGGAGACTTACCTAAGAAGGAGATGCAGTTGGCAGGATATGTGATGATGAAGTGTGCAGGAAATTACTCTTCATCAAAAATCACATTTCGAAAGATATAGGTACGTCTGAAGGAAGGATCAAAACACTGAAATCCTTTGTGATTGGAGCTATAACCAATGAAAATGCAAGGCATGCTACGATATGATAATTTATCATTTGTGTAAGGACGAAGACATGAAAAACATTGACATCCAAATGCTTGAAAATATGTGAAGTCTGAAGGAAGATGAAAAAGACATTCATATGGTGAAACATAATTAAGAATTTTAGTAGGAAGTCGATTAATGATGAAGATAGCGATGAGAAAAGCATCAACCCAAAATTTCTTTGATAAACCTGATTGAGCTAGAAGAGTAAATCCCATATTTATAACATGATGATGTTTCCTCTTAGCGAGACTATTTTATTGAGAAGTGCGAGGACATGATAGTCGATGAAAAATTTCATTATCCCTTAAAAAATATTTAAAGATGGTGGAACAATATTCACCATTATTATCACTTTAAAATTGTTGAATTGTGAATTGATATTGTTGCTCTACTAAAAGCTTGAATTTAACAAATATAGAATAAATATCAGACTTATTTGAAATAGAAAACATCTAATAAAAACGAGAAAAATTATAAATAAAAATAACATAATAACAACAATCATTCAAGAAAGGTGCGAAGTGGACTAGACATCAAAGTGAATTATTTTTAAGAGAGCAGTGCATTCTCTTGATGAATCAAAAAAGGATCAATTATTTATACTTGTCTAATTGACAAGATGTAAAAACTGATGTTTTATTTACGAAATCACTGGAAGAGAAAATTTAAAAATAACACAAAAGACTTGTCTAATTAACAAGATGTACAAACTGATGTTTTATTTACGAAATCACTATTTGGAAGAGAAAATTTAAAAATAACACAAAAAAGAGTATAAAAAAAATGGTCTAGACGACATTGCCAAATGAAAATAGGAGTTTTAACGCTAACAATTATTGTAAGGGTATAATATGGTGAAATAAATAATTAACAAAGATTGATAGGATATAATTTATTATTATTTAGTCCGGTCAAAAACGTGTTTTCCAACAAAATATTCTTAATAAAAAAATCAGAACCAATAAGTTTAAAAAGAATATTATTATCTTGACAGAATTTATTAATAAAGAGGAGATAAGCTGGTACTTGAGTACAATAAACAATATTATTTAAGATAGGAGTAGTAGAAGAAAGGGTTTTAATAGAAACATTGCATGAGATATATGCAAACATGTGCCGTTATCTACGCCCACAGAAGAGAAACTGGATTAGCAATAGTTTAGGTAACATGCATATTAGCACCATTGTTCGCGTACTATTGATATTAATTTAAAAGAGTTTGTATTGGCTTCTGCAACCATGACAGCTAAGTCAATGGGAGGATGATTCCTTAAAAAGAGTAATTACTGCGGTTAAAGCAATCCAAGGCCTGATATCGCTTGTAGATTTGGCATGGAGATCAGGAACAAGAGTCAGAAGGAGATGATGAAGATGGGCGTGGGAGGTGAGGTAGTGGCTGCCGAACCTGAGAGGAAGCACTACCCGATCCTTGAGATGCCCCTGAGAAGCAAGATTTATTACTGCTGTGACGAGAACCTATTTTGGCTGCAGGCTTTCTTTCAATCCAACCTTGCTGGCAAAATAATCTCCATGGTTTTGTACCCGCGCCTTCCCAACCTTTGCCTCCGATGCTAGCTCTTGACTTGGAAAGCATGCCACTGTCTTTGCCACAGGTGCTTATGGATCCGCTCGGTCAACTGAAACTCCTGCCCGTGCCTCTACCGCCCAGCTGCTTTGCCTGGACTCCTAGCTCCAGAGGGTTAGGAAAAAGGACTGATGGAAGAAAGAAAGAGTCAAGCGATAGACAAGAGCCATAGATGTTTGCCTTTCTAACCTGCTGCTTACTTTTCACTTCCATAACAGTTATAATTGCAGCATTAAATTACAGAAAAAAAACAATTGGTGTGGGAAAACACTGTATACCCACTCACACAACACTGTTTTTCCCACTTTTGTTTACAAGTCTTTTTTTATTTTTTCCCTCTATCTCAAATTATGTGGTGAGCCGTCTAGAATCACCTCTCTCTCTCTCTCTCTCTCTCTCTCTTGGCCTTTTCCTTCTTTTTATTCAGAGCAGAGGGGGCAGCATTGAAACATGAAACTCCTATCCCTCTTTTAGTCTTGCCTTCCTCTTTCTGTTTGCAGGGAAGCGGAGGTAGTAGAACCAGTAAAGGGAGCTTTAGGAAAGTGGGGGTTGTTTTTTGATGTTAGAATCGGCACGAGATTGTTGTCCATTGGAAGTGAGGGGGAAGGAGTTGTTTACTTAACATGATAGATGGTTTATACCGAGTATGAAAGAGAAGGAAGGGGAGTAAGTTCGGGAAAGGAGGTATTTTTTTTTAAAAAGAGGAGGACTATGGGTGTTTATTCATTCTTCTTATAATGGTTAAATAGTTGAAATTTGATTGTTTATTGTGATTTTGTGTTTTAATTATTTGTTTTATTAACTAAAGCTGCTTTAATTTTTTATGGGTTTATAAATTCTGATTTTTCTTCACGTTTTCACTGAGAAAGGAAGTGCCTTTTATTTCAATTTCATCTGGGATTTTGTTTCTGACACGTCCTGCACTGTTTGAGGATATAAACCATGTTAATTTCATATGGGGTGTGAAGCTCAGTTGTCTTATGTGCATATTTTCCAAATGAAATTCTCGTTCATATTATCATTATAGACAGTTGAAGCAGCAGCAGTTGCCAGTGTGCTTTCAAGAAGATGGAGATATCTGTGGAGATTTATGCCAAACCTCAATTTGGATGTTTTTAATACTAGCAGAACGCCAAACTTAAGTGCCTTCCCTTGTCTTTATCGCTTTCGAAGCAAAATTGCTCCCTTTAAGATTCCCAAATGGGAGGTAGTTACAAAACTAAATCATCAAAAGTACAACCCGAAGAAACAAATGCTATTATTTCCTTCTACACTGCTTAATTTACCCTTGGCCTTGGCCTTTGGCTAGCTATTGGTAGCTACCAAAGCACTCTTCTGGAAATTAAATTAGCAACGATCATGATCAGTTGATCACCTGTCTATGCCATTGCTTCTGAATGCAGCAGTCAAATGGCTAACTCCCAGTCCACCCTACTTGCGAAATCATCTCTGCAGTAATAAACTCTGACTGGCAAAGTCTCATACCCAGTAGCTCGTTTTGCAGGAGTGCCCTCGTGATCAGACTTCGATCCCGACGTTCTAGTTGACACTTCATTTAATGTTGTCCGCTTGTAATGACCAAACCACTTTGCTTGCAAGTACCCCTCTCTCCTCCAAGGTGGCACGTGCATTCCCACGGCTTTCATGGATTCTCTCATTGCATTGCACATTAATCTCACAATCTGCTTAACATCCTCAGGCGTCCCAACGTACACTCGGGGGAAAACATCAAGCAATTCAGCGTAACGACTGGTGGGACGAGCAATTTCGAACTCTCCTGCGAAAAACACCTCAACAATGTAGCGATTTCCACTAACATTCACATCCACATACTCATAATCTCCTGCTGGATGCCTCCCAAATTTCTCCCACCGTGATTTGCAAAGACCTTTACAAGGACAGATTGCGAACAAAATTAGATGACAAATAAGTAACATTGCTACAACATTTTAATTTTGATTGGTCAAAATGGTTAATAAATGAAATTGCCAATTCAAGATAAGTGTCGGCATCCGACATTGGAGCAAAATTGTATTTACATACATATTCAAATAATTCGTATGTTCATTAAAAAAAATTTAAAAAAATGGTATGTATCATATGAGATAAAACAGTCCACCCTACTTGCGAAATCATCTCTGCAGTAATAAACTCTGACTGGCAAAGTCTCATACCCAGTAGCTCGTTTTGCAGGAGTGCCCTCGTGATCAGACTTCGATCCCGACGTTCTAGTTGACACTTCATTTAATGTTGTCCGCTTGTAATGACCAAACCACTTTGCTTGCAAGTACCCCTCTCTCCTCCAAGGTGGCACGTGCATTCCCACGGCTTTCATGGATTCTCTCATTGCATTGCACATTAATCTCACAATCTGCTTAACATCCTCAGGCGTCCCAACGTACACTCGGGGGAAAACATCAAGCAATTCAGCGTAACGACTGGTGGGACGAGCAATTTCGAACTCTCCTGCGAAAAACACCTCAACAATGTAGCGATTTCCACTAACATTCACATCCACATACTCATAATCTCCTGCTGGATGCCTCCCAAATTTCTCCCACCGTGATTTGCAAAGACCTTTACAAGGACAGATTGCGAACAAAATTAGATGACAAATAAGTAACATTGCTACAACATTTTAATTTTGATTGGTCAAAATGGTTAATAAATGAAATTGCCAATTCAAGATAAGTGTCGGCATCCGACATTGGAGCAAAATTGTATTTACATACATATTCAAATAATTCGTATGTTCATTAAAAAAAATTTAAAAAAATGGTATGTATCATATGAGATAAAACAAGTTATCTAAGCAAATTAAGGCATCTTTTTTTTGGTATTGCAGGGTTTTTTTATATATATATAGTTTTGACTCGAGAAAAAACAAGTAAGATAACATCAATTTGATGTCTTTTCTCTTCGCAACAGCACAAAATGCCTTTAGCAGAAATAAGAGGTAAGAGAAAGAACGAATTAATAGAAAGACAGATCGAGAAGGAAAAACATAAATTTGTTTGTTTGTGTATACTAGATAGGGAAAATGCACTCACCAGCATCAAAGCCGCGGTCACGTAAACGAGACATCAATCTATGCTTAAAGCTTTGGGATGATCTTTCTCCTATGAACCCTATCTCTTGGCAAATCTTTTCTCTCACGTCATCTATGGTATTCAGCAAATTCACTAACCTTTCTTTGTTTTCAGAATAAGAGCAATCCGATGAGTCTTCAAGACGATCTCGATGACCCTTGTTTTGATCTCCTCCGGTACCTCCAAATTGATTCCTATATTCTGTTTCAATAAAAGAATTGACAAGATCAGCAGAACTGTTGTCGGGAGAGAAGTGCTCGCTCTTACCACTCTCGTAAAGCCTAATAACCCGAGATGCCTCGTTGAAAGCTGCAGCTACCCTCTCGAACCTCACCGGGCCAGTGTTAGCCATATTTTTCCTTGACAAGCAGTACTGCTATATAATTTTCTTGATTCTCTCCTCGCCTTTTAGTACATGCTTTCTCGAAAGCAAGCTTTTGATGCTATATATGTGTGTGTGAGGAGAATGATTTCAGTAGAAATTAAACAGAAACTTCAGGAAGAAGATGGTGTAAATTAAGATGTGGTGATACAGTGCTGTATGTATTCAGATTAAGGGAGAGGAAGGGCGACACGAAGATGTCGATATTGTGAAGACAATTATATATACAACTGGCAGGATAGGGCTGAAGTGTGTGGGACTAGCTATGACCATGACTGTGTCCGTGTGTGTATGTCGACTTTATTGCGTTAATCTTGAAAGAATCTCTCTACTATTTAAGGTCTAGGTTCATTGCCTAATTGGCACGCATGCATTGCCTGTCGGCGCCCATCTAAATTTGGCTACCTGAGAAGCTGCTGCTTGATTTTCAGTATTTTGTTTCTTAAAACGATACACGGGCGGCATATTCCCGGCCGGATGTGCATGCGTTTATTTACTACTTCTCCTCTTTAAATACGTTTTCTAATCTATGATTTGAGTCTAACTCAACACAACTCACTCACTTGAATGACTCACACATGCGGTTATTTTCCCTTCTTTTTAATTAATTATAAAAAGGTTTTGATTGGGTTCCTTTCGGGGGACGCCTGCATGGATAGCTCTGTATATTCTACACTAATTATTGATCATGACCCAACATGTACACACCCGCGCGGGCACACACACACACACACACACACATATATATATATATATATATATATCACTTAAGGTGCATGATCCTTGAGCATAATAATAATAATAATAATAACAATAAAAATAATAATAATAAATTTTATATGATACGCCAATAATATACTTTATACGATACGTCAAGGAATTAGAATATAATAGCATAAGAATAATAATTGTTGTTGGATTCAATTCTTTATTGGTGCATGATCCTTTAGAATATAATAGCATAAGAATAATTGTTGTTGGATTCAATTCTTTATTGTGATTTAATTGAATTATAGTGTTTATTTTGAATTTAATTGATAGATAAACTGAATTCATGTTTAAAATAGATAAATTAATTCATTTTGTTTTGTTTTATATGTTAACTTTTTTAATATATAGTCCATAAAGAGGAGATCATGCATAGATAGGTATATTAAAAAAACTAGTTTTAATATAAAATTTCACCTCTTTAGAAAGAAAATTATAGATCGAGGAGGTGATCTCTGATTTATTTTTATACTATTTTTAGATTTGGATTTCATTTAAAATTCAATTATTAACCTTGGAAATAACCTCAAATGCATCAATCGGGTGTTTATCAAGATCTGTTTAGATTGAAATCATATCAATATTTAATGTTTTGTTTTTTTTATATTAAGGGAGATTAATAGTGTTCTAACGAGAACGGCAGAGATTAGAAGGGGGTGGGCTGATCAGTGACATGCATGCATGACCACTAATGCTCGATCGAATAGTCAAGGATTGGATTACTCAAGCACTACAGCTGAGCAATTGTAATAAGTAAATTATGAGTGTCAAGATCAAGGATACATATTTCCCTTAATTTCCTATACATATATTCTTGGACGTGGAAAATAGCCGCAGTGCTCTTCTAACAAGACTGAAGTGTTCTTAGGATGTCTACACACACACACACACACACATGTCCAAGTTCAATGAATCTAATCCACACACACACTCCCTTCCTCTCTCCATTCAATGAGCCAATTAATTGTTTGAGACTAAACTGAGGTTTCCTAAAGTCATTTACTTTCCATCATATATATATATATATATGATGGAAAGTATGTTCCTACATACATACATGCTTCTCACAGTTAGTTTGTCACACAACGAAACCTTTTTACGGGATGCTTGGTGACTTCACCTTAATTTAATGGTAAGTTCTGACCCAAGATGTTAGGGCATAGAAGGGTTAAATGGGCTCGAGCTGGGGTGTTAAATGGGCTTGCGCTGGTGTGTTAAATTAAATGGGCTTGAGCTGGGGTGTTAAATGTGATGCTGCATGATATGGAGGCCCGGGAACTTGCCGACTAAAAGCTGTAAAGCATCAGCCTCAAGAGAGAGAGAGCGGGCCACTTTTGATTTTTGACTCGCAGAACGAACGCGTAGACAACGACGACGAAAGCAATCGAGAAAAAGTCAAAAGTAGCCTCGCTAAATTAAAAAAGAGGAAAGAGTTTAATGCTTCTCTGGTTCTTTGGATCGTGCGTGCTGCAGCTGCTGCCTTGCCTCTCGAAATGCCGAAAACAGAATCTCCTCCCCTCTCCTACCTTCCCCCTCCTCTTCCCTGCCCTGCTCTCTTCGCCCGATTATTAATTAATTAAGT